TTTTAAAAAAAAAAAAAAAAAACGTGTATCACAATACCGCCGATTTCGCGCGAAAAATATTCGAATACTTCGTACGTTATTATTATCAACGGCAAAAGTATATACTACTATAAGCGCGATATGAATAAACCCGTGAAAAAAAAAAAAAAATCTCGGTTTTATTATACCATTCGTCTTTTAACCATCGGCAGAGGAATCATACATCTATCATTATCGAAAATTCAGATTAAATTTATTTCTTCGCCTCGATATTCCGTTATGTTACGAACAATATTATGCACGGTGTCCCGCGGAGACAATATGCGCATTGCGATATCTCGGAAAGAATTAAAAGGGTTTTGACAAATTAGGAAACAAGTGCACTCATACGAATGATGTTCCACAACTCTTTTATTCCTAGGCAAATTGTGCTAAAAACTAATTGTTTGTTATATTGCCAAAAAAAAAAAAAAAATAAATTCCGAAACAAGTTATTAATTTCCGAGATATCGCGATGGGACACTCTGTATTGGGTTATTATGCGGAAACGAAGGGTAAAAACGAACAGTGAAAATTAATAAATATTAATATTATGAATTTCTATATTGAAATAGAATAACTAATATATTAGTTACATTTCTGTTCTTCTTTTCGCAAAACACTGTATTAGTAATAATGTTGCGATTTTTGCATGCCACATACGTTTTAAAAGAAGTGGGTTATTAATTGTACGATGGCGTTTTATTTATCAACAAATTGCTATGTATGGTTCTTTTCATTCTGGAAACACTTTCTCGGTCAGTATCACAAAAAATTGTGTTGAATCCCCGGGTATAGTGTCATTCGCCCTGACACTAACAGCTGTCAACAAAATGTATTTATTAAATACACTATACTTGTTAATTGTGTGTATCGAAATGGCTAATGGAAAAAAGTGAGCCCCCTCCCCAGACAAATTTTCTGGATTCAACACCGGTAAGAAAATTGCAAATTATTCACGCCATACTTTGAAATGTGTGAATGTGTTCGCCCGGTAGTACTTAAATCTGTACAAAAATGTTTAAAAAACAAACTGAATTTTTCAAAAATTAAAAAAAAAAAAATGAAAACATGCTACAAATGTGACGATAAATAGGTTTTATTTTAATACATTTAATTTAACGATTAATATAAAATAAACCGCTGATATTTGATTTTACGATTATTGCTACGAAACCAATGTGAACGAATACCTTTGCTATTAGTAAAAAAAAAAAAAAACAAAACGGTTCTATGTATTATTATGTTCAAAATAAAATTTAATTGTGAAAATTCTCATATTCGTGTTTCACTATATTACCTACTGGGGTAATAATACGCATTAACATTATACACGAGTGGTTTCGGATTAATGTTCTTGGCATGTAAAACACGCTAATTATTGTTTCTCGGTACATTTAAATGTCTAGCGATGTTTTCAAGAAGGTTCTTCTTTCTATAATGAGATTATATTATTAATATAAACGAACGCGCGGAGTTCTCATCGGCAATATGCATCTCGCGATTGGATCCCGACATTTTGTCTCTCTTACGTCACGATATTGTACAGTTTGGACTCCATTTATAAAGCTCTTGTTTATTTGTCTTTTTATCATTATTATTATTATTGTTGTCCGACGACGGATAGAAGATGCAACACCGAGATATAATGCGCTGCGCGGACTCGTGCAGTACAAAAGAAATACATAATATTATGAGGTTTAATAATTCCATCGACAGACGTTTTCATTATTTTTTTATTTAACAGGACAACGTAATGCTATTAAAATTTTGAATGAAAAAATATTGAAAAAAAAAAAAAAAAAAAAAAACCAGCTTACAAAGATTTGTATTTTGATTATTCGTTATAGATAACTGAATAATAATGTTGATATTATTATGTATTATTATTTTATTGTAATCGTATAATACTTACAATTCAAATACAGATTTTAATCAAACGATTTTTTTTCAACCACGTACGCATAAATTTTAATCGCGTGCGGTATATTAAATTACATTTCCAAAGGCTTCGGTCGTTTTTGTTTTTCTTTCTAATTGGCCACGTCGGTGTTTTATAACAACTTTATATATAAGTGTCCAGTTGAATACGAAAAGTTGCGACAAACTTGTACGTCATGATACAAGAAAAAGTCTTAAATTTATTAATCGGTATTATGTTTTCTTCGGCGAAAGTTTGGCTTTTAATAACATTTGATGCGATATCCGTAGGAAAATATTAATTTTGAATATTACAAAGTTTTCGTAAAAATAATAATAAAAATAGAAAAATTCGCATCGTCTCAAAACCGTTGTACCCAATATCACACGATGGATATTATATGGGACATATACAAATATATTTATTGTTTATATAAAATTACTAAAAATTTATCCAGAAATAGATAAATGTTAATTCATGAAAATACATCTAAATGAAAATAAAATATAAAAATTCGAATTCACCTATAGTTAAATGTAAAAGATAATTTAATTTTTTTTTTTGTTGCGACGCTAAGCTAAGGCTGACTGAGAAATTGTGTATATTTTCTAAACTAAATTGAAAAAAAATTAACTTAAATATGTAAACATTTGTTTTTTGTTAAATGATTATTGGTTAATATTGTTTATAATTGTTATATTGTTGAATTGTTTAATAATAATTAATTATAAAAAGTTAGTATTATTGTCTTCTATGTTATTGTGACCAAAAGTTAAAATAAAATTAAGTTTAATTTAATCTATACTATCAAATTAGTTTATATTTAAATTTGTCGTTATAGGTAGTATGTAAATTTAAGTTGATAACAGTACAGAATTATTGATGCTAAACGAATAAAATCGGTAACTTACATACTGAAGAAGAAACAAGAAACGGCTTAAGTTAAAAGTTAAAAATACCTTTAAATTAAAAAAATTACATATTTATTGACTATAAATTATACGACTATTTTTTTTAAAAAAGAATAAAAATAAAAACATTTTTGTTTGAACGATAATTCTGGCTATTTAATATTTATCATAAAAAAAAAAGGATCTAGATAAGTAAAATATGAATCTAAGATATATATTTAGATAATTTGAAATTATTTATCTAGATAAATCTAAACACCTGCATACATGTGACCTTTTAGGGAGGAAAAAATAAGAAATATCTATCATGGACGAAATTTTATATTAGGTTTCGTAGAGATAACTTAATAATAAAATGGCATGGTGCATTTCTCCGAGTTGATATATTTACAGTAGTTTGAACGGACCGGGGGACATTGATTTGTTAAAAAAAGAACGATTTTAATTAAGCAGAACTATAGTTTACGTCTTGATTTTTCAGATACGTTTTTATACGGTTGCAGTACTTAATGAAATTTCCATTTTTAATGGTGGTTTTATCGGCATGCCGATGACTAAAATCGTAAAACCTTTTAACGCAAAATACCTATATTACCGGTTGACGTAAATTAATATTTTATAGGGAAAAAAAGGCAGGCATACCCTATAAAAACGTACTGGTTTTTCGATCGAAAACAAATTTAAGCGCAAAGAAATTATACAAACTAATAATCGTGAATGACCGCGACGACGACGGTCCCTTTCGAATATTCGAATTAACACAATATTGATTTTAATAACGACGGAGTTGAGTATAATATCGAATGTTTGGTTATGTAGTAGAATCTGTAATTTATGTTTTTTAAATATAATAACATATAAAATACAATTATAATTCATTCCGTTGTTTAGGGAAGGAGGAAATCATACTATCGATATTCGAGAAATCATGTATACAATTTGAGGGATTCGACAATACTTTGGCAGGCCTCATTTTTATTAAACGTGATTATGGCCCGCGTATGAAATAAAAATACAAAGGGTAATCGAACCACTGCTGACGGCCGCTCCTACCGGGATCTGGCCGTCTGAGATGTGACAACAAGTCCCGGGCATTCGTTAATCGACGGATACAGTTAATACAGTTAACTGTTAATATTGTTAGTTATTTTTTTCTATTATGAAATATATATATGCATACATAATATGATAGAGTTCAATATCAAAATTCTTCAAAATTAGTTTCCACAAAACTTTAGTCAATACTGTTTTTTATTTGTAAAACTAGATCTAACTATGGCCTATAACCCATAACGGTGTACACATGGAACTATTTTAACTTTTTTTTTTTTTAAATTTTAACCAGTTGTATCTGAAATATATTGATGATAACTAGAAAGTTGATTTTCAGAAGTAATTTTAGATTCGGAGAGTAGCGAAGAATGTATTGGTTTTACAATGATGTTTGTTTCCCCCCCCCTTTTTTTTGGAACCATTTTTCTACTAAGAATCTTGTTCCGATTTTCGAGTTTAGTAATTTTTCTGAATGGAATTGATACCTAGATGATACTTTAGGGAAGTTATTTTTCGATCACGTGGCTTTTATAGTAAATGGAAAAAACTGACAATTTCCCTACATGTATAAAAGAAACTTCACTCCGAATTGTTTTTCGTTAGCGATGGTTTATTAATGCGTACAGATATAAATTATATTTTTCTTTATATTTTATCTTCTAAACTTCTTACCGAATACAAGGGCCTGCCTACTGTACGAAGTATGTCCGTCTTTTTTAAACGAGTTTCAACTATAGAAAAGTAGAAACAAGTAAATATTTATAATGAGTATAGACATTTTTTATAGTTGGAAAAAGATAATCTAATATTGTCATTTGTTTCGGAGATTGGTAGCATTGAGTATTACGCATGATTTGTTTTTTTTTTTTTTAATTAATAAATAGAACAAGTTATCTCAAGTGATCATCGTGGGACACCTATATATACAGAATGATCGTTTTATCGTCGAGCACTCATTATTGAATATTTAATTTGTTTTTAAAAAAAATTTTTGACAATCTAAAAAACAAACAGACTTAAAATTTTACATAATTTTTTGTCTGCCTTATTTTTGGAGTATGAAACGACTACCGACATTCGATTTTTAAACGGTAACCTATATTAAAATGGAAAATTAGTTTAAATATATTTTGATGTTGACATTTTTGATTTCCATCGACCCGTTTATGAGATATTTCATTTATGAGTTTAGGTACGAGGAGAGTAGTGGAACATTATTCAAACGGCACCCGCCGTGCCGTCACATATATGATACTCCACTACTTTCCCTCTGCACTGACTTACAAGTGTAGTATCTTGTGAGCGAGTTGACGGAAATCAAACATTTCAACTTCAACATTCATTTAAACTAATACACTCCGTCTATAATAAAGAGAAATTTTAATATAGATTACCATTTGAATACCAAAAGTTCGTAGTTGTTTGAGCCATAAACATAAGGGTAACAAAAAATAATGAAAAATTAAAATTTTAGATCGGCTTGTTTTTTTAAAATTCTCTAAACTTTTTTTTTTTTTTTTTTTAAAAAAATCAACTTTTCGAAACAATGAGTGTTCAACGATAAAATAATCACTCTGTATACATTATACTTTTTTAAATTAACACTCTTCAAAGTCGTTTTATTTGTTTTTCACGTTCTCTTCGTCTTAATATATTATTTCAAGAGTTTTAAAAACTTTTTGCGTTATAATTTATTTATATATCGAATGGAGTTTTATTTGGTTTTTATTATATTATTAATTATTTAGTATGCTGAATTCAGAACTCGAGAAGTTTTAAACTATTTAAATTATTGTATTCGAACAAGAAAAATTAACATTTTGCAGCGTTTGAAAACTATATGTGTTTTCGTATATTTGATCTTTCGGACAATATCAACGGTCGTTTATTAATGCAATTACAATAAATAAAACAAACGGAAACAATGGAAAAATCAAACATTCCGGTGCAGAAAGACTGTTGACATATGTATTCCAAAATGAAACGGTCATCGAACTCGTTATAGACAAACCTAAACGAAAAGAAATTAAAAACACAGTTCGACGGGTCCGTTATTCAGTGGATTTATTTTGGACGTTACGCGAGCAGGAGTATGAATAAACGACCGTGGAACGAGACGACGGCCGAGAAGCGCGGTCACAGATAACTACGGGGAAGACATTGAGCTTAATCGAGTCGGCGAGTCGACGACGGAATCGGTAGAACGAAGAGCCGAGGATTCGCGCACGCGAAGACAACGGATAAGCCCTTGGTCCCCGGGACCGGAATATCTCCGGTTTAGTACGACGCGCGCGCGTGTCGAATACTAGTTTCGTACAAAAACGTTTACTATATTAGGCATATTGTTCGTTTTGTTATTGTGGAACCGTTGGAATTCGCCGGGGACGTGGAATTTATTAAATGCGGCGCATGCGGATTAATTGCGCGTTTGTATTATTTCGCTGTTGTTGCGGGGCCGGCGCGTATTGGTTTACGTTTGTTTATACATAAAGGCTGCCTGCCCGCGTGTGCCCGTACGCACGTACGTACCGAACAAATCGAAACGAAACGGGGGACAAAAATACCGGCTGGAAAATCAATTGTGAATCGTGTGCAGATAAAGGGCAATTGTTGTTATCACGTTTTCGTCGGACGAAACGGAAGTACGTGTGTATTTATTGACCGGACGTCCACCCGGCGACGCGCTCGACGTTCGTCCACAAAAACCGAGTACACCTACCTGTATCCAAAGCGCATCCGATAAACGAACTTACACAACCAATACCGAACGCAAACCGTACCGGTACTATTAAAACGTGCCAGCCGTTTATCACAAACCGGTCACTTTATCGGGAAATTCGATATCTGTTTTTCGTTTTATGAACTACGGTGGAATAAGTTTTGTTTTAACGATATTTTCAATTTTTCATCCTTCTTATCCTCACACATTAAAATGTATACACGATTTTGATTTTTAAATAGCGAACACCCGTTATGAACACAGATTCGCATATAGTGAATATGTCTCTAACCGTTTTGATATGCATAACACCAATGTCGCGGATTTACCGGTTATACAGTTTAACATTTAGACTAGATGAGTATAGGGAAGGATAACTAATACATTGTATGAACGTTTTTAGATATTAAATTGATAAAAATTCCTTACTCCTCCGGATAAAAAAAAAAATAACGACAATATAATAATCATTCTAAATTTACTCTTCAGTAATATATTATTAACAAACAATTTTTTATCTACTTACCACGAATATATATACATATTCATGGTATATTTATATGGTTCATATATCTTTGAATATTTTTTGCGCTCGTCTAATCACAGGTTGCACATAAACCGAACAAAAAAGTTTTACATTAATATTAATTTTGCAATAATATTGCGATTAATCAATAAAGAAAAAATCGAAGGTTCGTTTTTACAAAAAAAAATTTCGATTCTGTATTTTCGTAAGCCATTAGTTTACTTGAAATATGGCATAGTAGTAGTAAAAAAAAAAAAAAAAATCTAAAATAGTTAATAGCTATTAATAATAGAAAAACGTATGTACAGAAGTATTTGAAAAATCGTTTACAACTACATAATATATTATCTAAATTTAAAGAGTATAGTATAGTTTATTATTTTTGAAAGTACGACGTTACAATAATATTTTTATAAACATAGTCAAATCATCAGACAGCATATTTCGAAAAGTTTCTTTTGTATTGCAATGATACCTAAGGCGATAGTTAGGTATCTGTTTTCGTTTTTTCTCTTATTATTGATTTTCTCTTTTTTTTTTTTCTTTGTTAGATATGAAGTTAAGTTCATTTATTATCACATCGTTTAAAAATGGCATCGCATGTCAATGTATATCATATTTGGGAAAAGATAACAATCGGTTTTTTAACTTATATCAAATAAAATATCTTTGGTCCAAGGGGAGTAGGGCTTAAGTCAATACTGTAGCTATTGTAGCTATATAGTTTTACATAACGCAATATGAAATACACGAGACAATTATTATCAAAAAAAAAAAAAAAACGCCGATAGTTGACTTGATCCTCCTTCCTACCGGTTCAATAAAATACGTACGTCGGTGTGTAATATTTCCGAAATATAGAATTTTGCTGCGTGTACCGATATTATATTTGTAGATAAAAAGTGCATTTGGAATTGTTTTTTTTTAGGGGGGGGGGGGTAACCACGCGGTATCGCTTTTTCGGATTCTTAACGATCGTTTAGCCGATCAAATCCACGGTCTTAAACCGTACAGGTGTGCCGCTATTGTCGTGAGGCGTTTTCGAACCCTCCGCCGCCAAATCATTTTGATTCGGCGACCGTTGGCCGCGTCGATTCAAAAAAAATGTGCCGGCGGCAGTGTGCCGCGCACGACAATAATGATAACGAAACGATTTCAAGAAGACATCCGAACGGCGGCGGCGCGTTAGTACCGCTCTATCAGCGTGCGACCGGGCGAGCGTGCGTTTAGCGCGGTATCGAGCGCGCGCTCGAGAGCGTTCGGACCATTAATCATCCCCGCCGGGCTATATACCGGACCCTGCCGCGCCGGTAACCACCGTCGGGACCGACGGAGCGACGGTCCGGCCGTATTATTTATATGTGTGTGTGTGTGTGTGTGTGTGTGTGTGTGTGTGTGTGTGTAATTCGCGTGTGTAGTGCGCGCGTGTGTAGGCGGGGGGTCCCTACCCCGTGCGGTGGCCATATACGTCGGCCGGGGGGGCGATTGGGGGAGGGGGGTGATAGCGATTAAGCGGGGTAGGTCACCTGTACCGCGGTCGGATGAATGGGGACACGCACGCATGTACGCGGAGACCCGTTTTACACGTCGCGGCGCACAGCGCCCGCCGCGGCCGTGGCCGCACGAGAGGACCGCGTACCGCGCGGATACGTCAGAACTTTCCGCACCCCGACACCCTCCGCTCCTACCGTTCCTACCGAGCGGACCTATCCGCCGGGACCTCGCCGGAGCACCGCGTGCGCACGGCCGTCATAATCGTCGTGCAGCGCGTGTGCCGCCGTTATCCCCGTCGCAGAGTATACGATGACGTCTAAGGGAATATCCGAATCTCTTTGATCCGCCCTCCTCGGCGGAGCCTCCCTCGAGATTTTTCCCGTTTCACGTTTTTTTTTTTTTTTATAAATATTTATGTACATGTCCGGAGGCCTTGATTCGTATGTCGATTACGGGCGGCAAGTGTGTAATATTTCTCAATGCACACGGTCCAGTAGATATCTCATCGAACTTTTTTAATTCGAGTATTATCGCGCAACATAACACATGATGAGATATTTCAGAGTGAAGCGACATTTTCACTGATTCAACAGCGGCTCGAGGTCTTTTAACGTATATCGTTTATCTGGATAAGTTAAAGATAAAATATCTAGTTACCTTAATCTAGATTAAACACAATACCGCCCTCAACCATCTGGTATGCGTTTTCTATGCTTTTAAAACTAGACTCGTTTGTTCTATCTAAATTGGAAACAAAATTATTAATGACACTTCTAACTATTCGGTTTTGGGTGTTTCGACCGATGACTTTCGTACGGTTTGTCCATTTTGTTAAGATTTTTCCCGGATCATGTGTTCTCGTTATCTCTTCTAGTCCGATATTTACGAGACTTCTTCCACCCTCAGAGCTCAAAACACCGTGCTTAAGTATTGTTTTTCTTGTCAACATTAGAAATATATCCCCCTCTTTTCGCTTGAAAGAAAACCTAATGTTAACGGCGCGAGGTTCAAATTGAAAATCACGACGACTCGAAATGGCTACACGTGTTTTGGTCTGTGTCGAACACAATAAATTACCCAGAAAAACCGCTCATGAGCACTGCACTCCTGTTAAGGGAGTGTCTACGTATTTCGTATAATTTATATTTTTTTAAATACTTTCCAATTGGTACGTCTAACATAATATTACTAAGAGTTTGCATGGGTGGACGTGCTCATGAAAAGTTTTCATATACGAGTTTTATAGATTTTTATTGCAATATTTTCTTACGCATCGCAACACATAATGTTAATATAATATAAAACTTTTGATTGCAATATTATTTTTCATATAACTTAGAAAATAGTTTAATAATGATTAGAAGCAAAAATATTATGATTTGATCAACTGTATTACCTAAAAGTTGTCCAAATCTATAAATCGTATTATTTTTATTAATATGTTATTTATTGATACAAATTCTGGAATAATTTTTTTTTTTTTTTTAACGAGAGTATTTACAGTTTCTCGACGAAACGTGACTTTGTTTTCTTATGCATTTTAAAATAAATGATTGTCTTCTATAAAAATGACGTTTTAATCACTTAACAAAAATAACACTGACCATTATTTTTTGAAGAATACACCGTCATAAATTGTGACTTATAAGAGCAATAAAAATAAGTCAAAAACAGTAAAATATTATGTGTTTCGTTTAATAATTAACTATTGAAAATTACGGGTTCGTTCAATTTAATAATAATTTATTAGTGCCTATTTGAAAAAAAAAAAAAAATCTTTACTTAAATCCTCATAACCCTGAATCTATATTACATTTTGTAGGTAATTGAAAATCTATTCAAGTCACAAGTGCGCGAGGCGCGTATGAGTATTGAAAACATTTAGGTTCTGGACGAAGCTAGGGGTTTCAGGATAACCATTACCCGGAAAAAATCCCCCCCCCCTCAAATCTTACCTGGAATCTACGTGGATATAATAATTGTTTTCAATTGTTTCATCTTAATTTTAAGTTTTTAACTCGTAAACGACAAGCCTTGAAAAAAATGTATCTATGTATAATAATTCATCTAGATAAGTTTCACCATTGGTAATTTCTCACTACCTGTATACCGTTTAAATTACGAAATTTTACATCTAACAATATTATTTCATTTCATAATTTATGTAGGCATTTAAATGTTTCGGTGTGGTTGACAAATTAATATAGTGTGATGTCGACCGCGTAATTTCGGGGCACATAATTAAACCGCTCTATTGCATTTTATCCGACACTTCTTAATAATATTAATAATAATGTATTAAATAATATTTTATAAATTCTTTTATGCACGTCTTAATACACATACTTTACCGCCTTTGAATATTCGGACGCGTAAAGAATGTATAAAATGTGCTTAAAAACCCGTTGAATGAACGTTAAATAGATTATAATATTATGATATTTTCGTCACGTCATTTATGCAAAGCAGTTTTATTCTTCGGCCAAAAAATAATAATGAAGAACGAAAACGATTTGATTAATAATATCATATTGTTATATTTGAAATTGTAACAGTAGTTCACGGGGTCAATATATTCTGCGCGGGGAGACATAATTGTTTAACATATATTTTCTGAAAAATAATACATTAGTTTTATATTTTCTGATTCATAAATAATAATTATGTACAATACTCGTTCAAGCAGTGGATAACGTGATGGTAGGTCCACTTGTTAATTAAGGTTAAATTATCCGTCCTCTTTAGTCTCTGTTGTCCAGGGGGACGATTTAGTTACATTGTCACTGTGAAGTTATCTACAATGCAGATTTTACTTATTAGTAAAACACGATTTTTACGTACAAATTTGTGCGAGAGAAAAAAAAAAATGTTGGACGTCTTGACACTCCGTGAGTTCCCTGGAACATTTTGAGCTCGTCAAATGTTTAATTTGCCTGATTAAAAATTAAATTAAATTTGAATTTTAAAATATTTAGTCGCGCAAATAATCGCGGATATTAAACGGTAGATTAACGGGGCGGATATGATATGCGAGTATCTACCCAATCTATCCCTGTAAATACGCTACTTGCTATACATACGTACGTACGCCATTCTTATTAGACGTATCGGGGTATCGACTTGCGATGGAACATGGACGTGAAAATACTTTAAATAACAATTTTCACATCCGTATTAGGCGCGTGTGAAGTGTGTGTGTGTGTGCGCGCGTAGTCGTGTGATCGATGACGTGTGTACTAGATAGGTATATTTATTATTGTTATTATTATTACTATTATACGTTTCATTGTTGGCCGAGATATCATAATATCTTCGTTTTGTGTAATGCAGTCAAAACTTTCCGCCGTGATTAATAATTCCGTCAATTTTGACGCCCCAATAACTAATTTATAACCGGGAGAACGTTACGCGAGTTTGTATTCGTACGTATAATAAAATACCTATAGCGAATAACAACAAATTAACTAAATCCGACGGTGAAAAACTCGAATGTAATTTTAAACGTTATTAAAATGTAAATTAATAATCCGTATTTTTAGGCGGTTTTGATTAAAATGTCTTAGTTTCGTTTTTGAGATACTAAATTTAAACTATTAAACACTATATATATATATATATACACACAGGTATATGGATTTAAAAACTTTTAATTTCACGTATAATTTAGTATAGTTATAGGTAGATATTGAAAAAAAAATAAATACATTTTACGGTATGAAAATAACTAACTTTGAAACTAATCGAATATTTATCGATAGGTTTCGTGTCGTAATGTTCTTAATCGTTCTAAAAAATACAAGTTTTGAAATTCAATGTTTTACTACAGTCATTCTAATAATTAATCTCTCTTAATAAACTTATAAATTGAACACATTTGCATTTTTATCATTGATAGAATTCTGTAATCCGTTCCAACGGTATATAATTGTTCGATTAAAATATTTTAAAGTCAAGCGCGTTCATCTTCTAAAATCCAATGTAGGTAAAATGAGGGATTGCCATTAAATAAAAAAATGGTGTCTTGCGCATGTGCATATCGAATTAACAGTAAAAAAAAAAAAATGCCGAGCGCGTTAAAATGTGTATATAAGTAAGTATAACAATCAATGAACTAACTAAAAAAACAAAATTCAAATTACATGTCTCTGTGCAAGGATATATTTAGTGTTTTCAATTAGTGTTTCCAAAATGTACAGGTATATTTTTCTCGCTATTCTCTTGGATACTTTTGCGGCTCCCTCTGATCCAAATGAGCTCAAACTCGGGAAATATTACAGTTTGATTTGTAGGCGGTTTGAAGTGATTAAAGACGTGTTGAATTTTATTTCAAAATTAATTTCACCATATTTTTGCGGAAAGAGAGCGTTTTTTTTTTTTTATACTTAATCTTTTTTGAGAGTGTTTCAATTCTCACTGCAACCATTTTTAAGTTCAAACTTAACGTTCTCAACGAAAATACCCGCACACCCGTGTGGATTAAAATGCAATTAGACCGCGACAGCCATAGCTATTTTAAATCGATTATATATATAGAAAAAAAAAAAAAATTGTAACGGCGACAATTCGCGGTTGGGGGGGAAATTCGACTTATAGTGACGAAGCTCCGCTACTCACGGGCGTATTTTTTCTTTTTCGTTCGTATAACTTCTCAATTATACCGAATTACACGTGTCTGGGGCGACGGTGGGAGGAAGGAATTGTATTTTACGTCGGCGCGGGGGCAAACGCGTTTTCGAGACCCGGTCGAATGCAATTAACGCGCGTATCTGCGGCGGCGGCGACGGCGACGGTCATTTATCGCAGTAGCGGGTGTAGCGGAAACTCTTGGCGGCGGTGTCGGCGGCGAGCCTCGCAAGAGGAGTGTAAGGGGAAACGGAGAGAGAAGCTATCCTTGATGAGGACGCTAGAATAGCGTATATAATAAACCTAAGCGGCTTAACCGCGGTAAGCTCATTTCGCCAACGTTGTTTTCATGACCTTTAACGTAGGTATACCCGGGTATACAACTCGAATTAATTTCGTCCGGTCGACAATTCATACGCTGCGGCGCGGCTACGGCGGCGGCGGCGGCGGCGGGAACGCCTGCATTCGATTATTATTATTATTATTTTTTTTTTTTGTTGCCCCTCGAGCTCGGCGAATAAGCCTACGCGTCCCGTACGTACCGGATACCCGTATAATATGCCTTGTAGTAAATAAGCCTCGTATGTAACGTGCACATACGAATACGCAAATTGTACGCGCGTACATAAATCTCGATGGTAAGTACGGTAAACGTTAATGTGTGCGCAGTAATGGCCGCGAAACAGTAAACCGTTGTGCGCGTATTATGCGACTTGGCAGGTGTATACCGCGCGGTATTTTAGCCACCATTGACCTACTATGCTGCCAACCGGGTGTCAATATATAAAAAACTACATAACGCGAGTATAATGCCGTCCGTCAGCTGCCTATCTATTAATAGAGAGGTTTTGTCAAAATGCGCGTAACGTGCGCGCGCGCGCGCGCGCGTGTGTGTGTGTGTGTGTGTGTGTGCGCGCGCGCGAACGTGTGTGTCTGTACGATTGTATACGCGGTCGTACCAATACATGCTTGGAAAATATGGCGGGTAGTCGTTAAACCCAAAGACAACACACGTAATGGACAGACCCAATTATATTGCCGGTTCCTAAATCGTTAAGATTTTCAATCGACGGGTACCGGGTTATTTTTTATTTTTATTAAATACGTATGTAGAAAAAAAAAAAAAAAATGAAAAAACCGATACGTTTAGTTACTGCATGTCGTGTTTGACGAACGAATACGCGGCGGCGTTCCAAAAACAAATGGTATTTTGTCTATTCTGCGATTTTATCAATAAAAACGATTACGGTTTGTCCGTCACGCCAAATAACGTCTGTATGCTTGATTAGTGTGACGTCATATTATTTGATAACAATCCTTATCAAAAAATAATAATAATAAAAATTAATACTTAAATATAAAAAAATAAACATAAAATACTTAAATGTGATGCAAGGTAATTTCAGTCTTATAATATTCTACGTTTTAATACTTATGTTAATATGTTAATTTTATTGCTGAACATATT